AATAATAACGTAACAAATTAGTAAATAAATATTAAGATGGATATAGTTCAATCGGTAGAACAATTGTATGTGGCATAATATGTTCCCTGTTCAAGTCAGGGTATCCACCTTTAAGTTTTTTTTATGAACATAAACATATGTTTATGTTCATGTATAGAGTAAAATAAAATAAAAAGGAAAGCAAGTTAACAATATTTAAGAATCTATAAAATAAATAAATATTATTAAAAAAATAAATACTATCTTAAAATAAAAAGTTGATAACTTTTTATAAACATAAAATTACACTATTATGTTTATAATAAAATAATAAATATATAAAGTAACAAAACAAAACAAACAAAACAAAAACAAAACAAAACAAAGAACGAAAGACGAATAATTGATAAATATTAGGAGAAGTAATTTTCAAGCTCATCCTTTTCATTTAGTATCTCCGTCACTTTGACCTATATTTACTAGTATTGCTTTATTAACTTTAACTACTACAGGTGTTTTAACAATGCATGGATTTAACCTTGCAGAATATTTGTTGTTATTAGCTTTTATATCAGTAATTAGTTCTATGTCATTTTGATTTAGAGATGTAATATCTGAGGGTACTTATTTAGGTAACCACACTCTAGCAGTACAAAGAGGTTTAAATATGGGTGTTGGTTTATTTATAGTATCTGAAGCTCTTTTTTTTTTAGCTATATTTTGAACTTTTTTTCATAGTGCACTATCTCCTAATATTGAATTAGGTGCTAAATGACCTCCTATGGGTATAGAATCAATTAATGCTTTTGAATTACCATTATTAAATACAATAATATTATTATCATCAGGTGTTACCGTTACTTATGGTCATCATTCTTTAATACAAGGTAATAGAAGTGGAACGTTATACGGTTTAATATTTACAATTATATTAGCTATTATATTTACTGCACTACAAGTTATTGAATACTCAGTTTCTTCTTTTACTATATCAGATGGAATATTTGGATCTTGTTTTTATTTTGGTACTGGTTTTCATGGATTACATGTTATTATAGGTACAGCTTTTCTTACTGTTGGATTATGACGTGTATTAGCTTATCATTCTACAGATAATCATCACTTAGGACTAGAGTCAGGTATACTTTACTGACATTTTGTTGATGTAGTATGATTATTTCTTTTTGTATCGATATATTATTGAGGTTCTTAATAAATTTACCTTATTTTTATAGTAAAATTATTACTATTTAACCATAACAATTTAAATAAAAAAAAAAATCTATAGTTGATAATTTAATTTATTATTTAAAACTATAGCGATAATAATAATAAAAAAAAAAATATGATTTATCTTGATCTTTTTCCCGGATATGTTTACCCTACCAAATTATACAATAATAATGAGAGTTCTAAAGAGAAATTCATTAAATTAATATTAAAAGGATATATTTATATATCATTATGAAGAGAAAGATGATTTTTATCTTCAAATGCAAAAGACATAGGTATTTTATATTTAATATATGCTTTGTTTTCAGGATTAATTGGTACATCTTATTCTGTTTTAATAAGATTAGAGTTATCAGGACCAGGAGTACAATTTATACAGGATAATCAATTATACAATAGTATTATAACAGCACATGCTATCGTTATGATATTTTTCATGGTAATGCCATCTATGATAGGTGGATTTGGTAATTTTTTAGTTCCAATATTAGCGGGAGGTCCAGATATGGGATATCCTAGACTTAATAATATAAGTTATTGATTACTAATACCTAGTATATTGTTATTTATATTTGCTAGTTTTATAGAAAATGGGGCTGGAACAGGATGAACTCTTTATCCTCCACTATCTGGAATACAAAGTCATAGTGGACCTAGTGTAGATTTCGTTATTTTTGCTTTACACTTAGCAGGTATAAGTAGTCTATTAGGAGCAATAAATTTTATAACAACTACATTTAATATGAGAAGTCCAGGTATCAGTTTACACGAATTAGCTTTATTTGGATGAGCTGTTGCAGTTACAGCTGTTTTACTTTTATTATCTTTACCTGTACTTGCGGGTGGGATTACAATGGTTTTAACAGATAGAAATTTTAATACAACATTCTTTGAAATAGCAGGTGGTGGTGATCCTATTTTATATCAACATCTTTTCTGATTTTTTGGTCACCCAGAAGTTTATATATTAATTATACCAGGTTTTGGTATAATTAGTACTACTATTTCAGCTAGTTCAAACAAAATTGTATTTGGTTATTTAGGTATGGTATATGCTATGATGTCTATAGGTATATTAGGTTTTGTTGTGTGAAGTCACCATATGTATACTGTAGGATTAGATGTCGATACTAGAGCTTACTTTACTGCAGCTACTTTAATAATAGCTGTACCAACTGGTATTAAAATATTTAGTTGATTAGCTACATGTTATGGAGGATCACTAATATTAACATCATCTCTGTTATTTGCTCTAGGATTTGTATTTATGTTTACTATAGGAGGATTAAGTGGTGTTGTTTTAGCTAACGCTTCACTTGATATTGCTTTCCATGATACTTATTATGTAGTAGCACATTTTCATTATGTTTTATCTATGGGGGCTGTTTTTGCACTATTTAGTGCATGATATTTCTGAATACCTAAAATATTAGGATTAAGTTATAACAGATTTTTAGGTAAAGTTCATTTCTGAATTTTATTTATAGGTGTTAATGTTACTTTTTTCCCACAACATTTCTTAGGTCTACAAGGAATGCCTAGAAGAATTAGTGACTATCCTGATGCTTTTGCAGGATGAAATTTAATAAGTAGTTTTGGTTCTATTGTATCTGTAGTAGCCACTTGAATATTCTTGCATATATTATATGTACAATTAACAGTAGGTAAATCTATATCAAGATATCCTTGATTAACATCACAGTTCTATAGTGATTATTTACAAACTCTTTTAAATAGAGCTTATAACTCTTTAGAATGATGTTTAACTAGTCCACCTAAACCTCATACATATGTATCATTGCCAGTACAAAGTAGTTTTGATATAAACATCTTGTTTAAAATTATTATAAATAAAGTATTTACTAAAAAAAATATAATTAGAATTGTATTTATTTCTTTATTAATTTTTTTTGTAAGATGTGCTTTACTTTATTTTGGTCTTAATCATAATTTTGTAGATCTTTTAAGTTATTTCTTTTGTGGTATTAATTTTATATACAATTTTTTATTTAATGACGGAGGTTCTGATTCATTTATGTTTTTAAATGATAAACCAGTTGAAGGAAATTCACTTAAAAAAAACAGTAGTGTCAAAGAACCTAAAGATCTTCATATTAATAGTATGGATTCTTCTAGTGATAGTTCCGATAGTGACAATGAAAATGAAAATAATGGTGTTACAAACGGTCATACTAATGGTGTTACAAATGGTCATACTAATGGAGTTACAAATGGTCAAACTAATGGAGTTACAAATGGTCAAACTAATGGAGTTACAAATGGTCATACTAATGGTGTTACAAATGGTCATACTAATGGTGAGGGTAATAATAATGTTGAGGATAACGCTGGAACTCAATACCAAAATTTAAATGAAGTTGATCAACATCATAGAGCTGAAGCTGAAGAAGAGGCTGAATTACATGAAAGTAATTTGGATCCGGTATTCTTGGAGCAGGTATCATCTGATACAGGTATGCCAATGGAAGTCTATATATTACAAGAACAAATGCGTCATAGAGAAAATTTGGATGATATTGAAAGAAATAGACGTCAAGATATAGAAGCGCATCGTGCACTAGGTCTTACATATATTAATAATAACAATCCAAACGCAGATCCTAATTATGATTCTACTCTTCAAACTCCACCAGTAGCTGAAAATAATGGTGTTACAAACGGTCATACTAATGGACATAACCATAGTGATAGTGACAGTGAGAATAATGATAATGGACATAATAATGGTTATACGAATGGGCATAATGATAATGATAGTGATAGTGACAATGACAATGACAGTGATAGTGACAGTATCAGTGATAGCGATAGTGAAGACAATAATAATAATTAATTGTATTTATAATACTTAAGATAATAAAACAAAAAAAAAACTAAAAAAAAAATGATAAATATTCTAAAACTCTATGTACTGTTAATAACTGGTTTCATTCTTTTTTGCATTAGATTTTTCTTACATGATATTTTAGGTTATAGTGATTTAAATCTTTCATTTATGTATATTCTTTCATTAGGATTAATAAGAAGTATTGTAGTAGAAATAGTAAAATATACCATTGAATCTTTTTCATACAAATCTATAATTGTATATTATAAATTAAGTAGTAAAAATATTATTAATAATATTAAAAAATTAGGAATAATACTATGAATTATTATGTTATTTATCATAATATTAATGGTTATACTAATGGTTATAATAATGGTAATAATAATGCTAACACTAATATTAAAGATAATTATTTATATTATACTTCTAATTCATAAATTCTTCTTGTATTATTTATTTAATAAGTTAAACTAATTTTTTTTTATTTATAAATAAATAAATTTATAGTAGGTTATACAAATTTATGTTGTGTCTAATCCAAATAATATTTATTATTGTGTATAATAGTAATATTAGCTAATATTAATAGTAATATTAATAATAAATATAATAATAAAGGTAATACTAATAATAAAGGTAATACAAATAATAATAATGTAAATAAAGTAAAGAAAAAAATATTTAAATAAATATAATAGTCATAGGAGGTTTCCTATCTAAAAAAAAATCTATTAATGATAAAAAAGTGATACAAGCTGCCAAAATTATAGGAACTGGTCTAGCTACTACAGGTTTAATAGGAGCAGGTGTAGGTATAGGTGTAGTTTTTGGTGCTCTAATATTAGGTGTTGCAAGAAACCCTTCTATAAAAGGTCAATTATTTTCATACGCTATACTAGGTTTTGCTTTTGCTGAAGCTACAGGTTTGTTTGCTTTAATGATGGCTTTTTTATTATTATACGTAGTTTAACAATTTGAAATATTTTTAATATAATTTATATCAAATATTAAACTAAATAAAAATATAAATACAAATATAAATAAAA